GTCACATTTATAGAAAATCTAGCAGATGCTTTTTGAACCTTTTGCAAAGAACCAGCTGTTTTCTGTGTTTAAATATTTGTGGTTAGCTAAATCATGAGTGAGTGGTACGGATCTTCTCATGGAAGGTCAAAAAAAAAAAGCTTTTAATATAATTTCCAGCTATTAAAAGCTTGCTCTGGACAAAGTGTCATAGCAGACGCCTACTTGTGTCCAGATGGGTCTGTTTAGTTATTTGCTAGCAGTTGTTCCCAGAGGAGGGTCAGCTTCATTATTTAACATGAGTGTCTCGGCCTTACTGTTAGTACACTCTGTTTTTCTGTACTTAGCCAGTGACTGATAGCTGGGAGCACATCATGATGACTGATGTGTTGCCAGTTCACACTCACAGCCCAAATCATCAGTTTAGAAATGCTCATTTTCCCACAGGCCAGCGCCACAATGCAACGCTTCTGTTTATGAGTTGAATCTCACAAACATCTCCCCATATACATTAGAAAAACCACCCAAATCTTGTGACCGTCTTTGCAGTGTGAAATGCCTCAGTGCTTTTCTCACATGAATGTATTCTCCACAGATGAACTTTATTCTTTTCATCTGCATCATTCGGATACTTCGCCAGAAGATAAACTGCCCCGATATTGGAAGAAACGACTCCAACCAGTACTCGTGAGTGTAATTAAATTTCTTTTTCATGCTGGAAGTTTGTTTTATGTATCAGCTAATAAAGGATGAAATGTCACTGATACGAACGAGGGTGTTTGGAAAGAGCTCCGCCGCTTCTGTCTCGGTGGACATTCTGTGACCATTAGCTGCTTTTGTAATGATAAACAAAGATTTGTTTGAATAAACTTGCAAAGCAGCAGAGTAGCACGCACTCCTGAGTATTCTTGCTGTAACTATTGCTGCAAATGTAACTTTTTTTACGCTCAGAGCGATGCAGGGATAACTAGTCCTTTTGGACTTCAGAGAAGAAAATCTTAGCATGCACAGCACACTGTGGTTTTCCGCCATCCAGCAGCTGCTTTACACAGAGATGTAGTGCTATATGTATTTAAGTGGTTTTTCATATGATGGAGAGCATCTCATAAGCCAGTCATAATGCATGAGCTATTTTCCAACTGACACTTTTAATGGCGTTTCCCCCCCCCCCCCCCCCCGTCTCTGGTCTGCTGAGCTGAAATTTAAAATGAAAAGTACTCCTGAGCTGCATTTCATTATTGGGGTATACAGAGACAGATTGGATGCTGGTTTGACTGGAGGGAGGGATTTGAATTTGTTTTTGCCTTATCATTTCAGGCGACTGGCAAAGTCAACGCTGCTTTTGATTCCTCTGTTTGGGATCAATTATATAGTGTTTGCATTTATCCCCGAGCAAGTGAAGACTGAGCTGCGGCTGGTTTTTGACTTGATTCTGGGATCATTTCAGGTATGAGATCAAATGTTTTTGAGGAAAAAGTGATTGTTAAAAAAAATACCTGTAGATTCCTCGAATCCAGTGCCTTAAAATAAATGTAGTCTTCTAGAAGTGTGGTCCAAAAATAGTGATTTGGCATGCTTTCAGCCCTGAACTGGCGAGTGCTACTATTAAAGAAAACTGCATCAGGTCTCCAAGCACTTTGCTGGCTGGCTCAGTGGCACTGTAACTGTTTAAAGCTCTGATGTTATTTCAGTTCATCATTTAATGAGGAATGATGGAGAATGCAGCCAGACAGCACAGCTGCATTACAACAGCTTGGAAGATATGACAACCTTTCCAACACAATCCTCTCCTTACTCCTTTTATTCCCCCTTCTTATTACAACTCGACACCCATTTGTTTTGTCTGTGTAATACATTTATGTCTGTCATGACTGCCACATGTTATTTTTTACAGCTTTTCCTCTGTTGCTTTGGCTTAATTAAGACAGTTAAAGCTGTAAGAAGGTATTTGGAACACAAACACAACTGTCTACAATCTTTATAACCAAGAGAGATTAAGTCTTCTTCATGAGTTAAATACTTGTGCTCACCAACTACTTCGTTAGGTACTCGTTGCTAATACTGGACTGATCCCCCTTTTGCATTCGGAACTGACTTGATTCTCCGTGGCACAGAGTTCCCCAGAGAGTTTGGGTAATATTGACATGACAGCATCAAACAGTTGCTGCAGATTTGTTGGCTGCACATCCATGATGTGAATCTCCAGTTCCACTACAACCCAAATTGAGATTGAGATGGGGTGACTGTGGGGGCCATTTGGGTACAGTGAATTTGGCTAATAAAATATCCCCAAACACCATTACACCACCATCACCAGCAGTCTGGTCTCTCGATACAAGATAATCCAGATTCATGCTTTCATTTTGGTAACACCAACCTACCACGTTTTTCCAATCTTCTGTTGTCCAATTTTCCTGAGCCCGTGAGAATTGTTGCCTCCTTGTCTTAGCTGACACGAGTGGCACATAATGTGGTCTTGTGCTGTTGAAGCCCAGCTGTTACAAGGTTCAGTGTGTTGTACCTTTAAGCCCCTTTTCCATTAGTACTTACTACTAGTACTCAGATCATCAAATCCATTTCCCATTAGGTCATAGTACCTGGTACCAGGTACTTTCTTAGTACCTGCTTGCCCAGGTTTCCAAGCGTTCCGAGCATGTGCTAAAATGTGACATCGTCGGACTGCATGCACATCACAAAGGAGTGTGGAATTTCTCGGGACTTGGATCAGCTAATGTCACATACTGTCCAGTTAGCTTACAGCTGAGGGCCATTAGTAGGAGTGTTGTAAAACACATTTACTGAGCTTTAGCGCACCAACGTGTCACCAGTTTGAAAACAAGGAAGAGCCCACTCAGATACACCGAGGAATCGGACTGGACATTGAAGAGAGAAAGGAGTAAGGAGGTGGGAGGGGAAGACGACGTAAAAAAAAAATTTTAGTGAATGTTTGTGGATTATACGGGGAGAGCATTAACCGTGAGGTGCATGAGAATCGGGAGAGCGAGGGAAGTCCAGTGAATCATGTCTTTTTAAATACAAGTTGAAATCATGTCTTGTTGAATCTCTCAGATAATAATAATAACAGTTCCACAGAGTAGGTATTCAAATTTGCTAAAAACACGGGGAAAACATCCTTAGTGCTAAGATCTTAAAAAGGATGCCTCTGAAACTGCGAAAAACTGTAAAAAATAACAAATAATTGATAAGACGAGATGAACAAAGAAGAAATTTAACCATTACATCCTCTGCTCCTGCTTTCTTATCACTGTTTTTCTTTCCTTTTAGGGCTTTGTGGTCGCAGTCCTTTACTGCTTCCTGAACGGAGAGGTAGGTGATGTAAACACTGCTGATATAAACATACCACAGTACTTCCACACAGAGATAGCCTGCAGTCGTGCGCTCATTCTCAGAAAATGTAGTTTATCTGTAGTTTCTCCATCGCTCCCTGTGCGCACCATTTACATTCACACACTGTCCTGACAGGTAGATGGAGCGGCGGGTATGAGTCACCGGCGCTTGTCGTTCCAGCTCCTCTCTTGGACCTCCCCACAGCATATTTTCTGCACTTTGCCTGCAGGGTGGGAGGGCTGTAAAAAGCACACAGTCTTTTTGGCAGGGAGCTATCCAGTGATGTCTGCACAGGCTCTCTGTGGGAAGATTATTTATGTTCTCAGTGCTGGGCCAGATTGAATCACAGTGATGGGCTAGATGGCGAGGCTTGACACTATGCTGCCTGAATTTTAATCTCATGCAACTTCCAGGCGTCCTTTACTAAGTGTGGAAGATTTCTGCACTGCTGGTAAGTTATGTTAGGTTTAGTTGTTGAATTCTCGGTGCTTAAGGAATGGCAGACATGTCGATAGCAAGAAAACAAATATTGACAAGGTAGAAGTGGAAGCTATATTGATTTTCTTTTTGCCTAAATAATGCAAAACAGTTTTTAAAGTGTCATGCTCTCATAAAATTCATGCAAAAGAAAAAACTGCTGGACTCGATTGCGAGGCAGGACTGTCTTTAAAAAAGAAGATACGTGGGTCCAAATGAGGGGTTAAGGGTTTTCTGGAGAAGCCGGTGGAGAGTGTGCAGCCAGGTTTACTTAACAAGGAGTTGGCCGAACAAAGAGACACAGGCTGGTAGAGCACAAGGAAGGACCTAGAGCAGGGGTGGGCAATCTCAGTCCACGAGGGCCGGTGTCCCTGCAAGCTTTAGATGTGTCCTCGAACCAACAAAGCTGATTTAAATGGCTAAATTAGCTCCTCAACATGTCCTGAAGTTCTCCAGAGGCTGGTAATGAATTAATCATGTGATTCAGGTGTGTTGACCCAAGGTGAGATCTAAAACCTGCAGGGACACCGGCCCTCGTGGACTGAGATTGTCCACCCCTGACCTAGAGAAATAAATGTGAAGCCTAAGTGTTCTCATTGCTGCTGTCGATGAAAGCACATGATGGCGAGTGTGTGTGTGGATGACTGTGTGTGGGAGGGGCGGGTTGATTAGTCGATGAGTGTCAGGTGTGCCAGTGGGAGCTGGAGCAGTGCCACATAAACAGGGAAACATATGCACACACATCCTCAGAGAGTGAAGGGAGACCTTGGAGATGCACGCACTATTTGGGGGGGAAATGAATATAGTCTAATCCAGTAATAGAAGTGTACAGTGTGCAGAATAACACAAACACCTGGCACAGCCCCTTAACCTGTAATACATGACACAAAATAGCAACAAATTTCCAAAACCTGCAACTGACTGTAGATAATGTTCCAACATAAGAAAATATCTGCAAAAAAACAACAAAAAAGGCATATTTAAAAATATTCAATCCTCCAGCAGAAGGTCTGCTTATTGTTTGGTTCACTTTCCTCCCTCTGACATGGTCTAAATGAAAACTAATGTCAGTGTCGGGTACTGCTTTTAATGGCGCACCACCTCAGCGCTGGCGGCGTTTAATTCTGTGGATTTTCTCTGGGTGCTTTTCATTTTTTCCCCTCCGTCCTTGAGCTTCGTCTGCTGCTGAAAATCACGCCAACCAATTTGTTTTTCTGTTTAATTAAAATGCAGGTCACCCGCTTTTAAGAGATCTGCAGTTTTTATAGTCGATTATTCAATCATAGAATAGTGTTCAAAAACACTTGGAGAATGACAGAGGTATGTAGGGAGTAACAGCAGGGCCTGTCCACACGTGCACGGGTATTTTGGAAAGCATTTGGCAGCATTTTGTCCTTTTGTTAACATATAAACTCTGTTTTTCGGAGCTTTTGAAAATCTCCTCCCAGGTTTAGGTTTTGTTTTTTAAACTCTGTTTCTGCATTAATGCGTGGACAAGGACAAAATATGGATGTTTTTTGTAGTAAAAAGCACTTTAAGTGCTCACTTAGAGTAGAAAAGCATGATGTAAATACTAGTTTTTTTTCACTAGACTTCTAATTGGCCAGGAGAACAGATCTGACCTATACACCAGTTGCTTTGGTGTGCTCTTTACAGTGCTTAATTTCTTTCTTTCTTTTTTGTATTTTCACATGGACAAAGTTGTCTTTTAAAACAGTGATCATCAACAAAAGTAAAAAAAAAAAAAAAAAAAGCCATGTAAATAAAGTCAAAATTTTGAGATAATAACTCAAAATGTTAATTTATGGTATATTTTGTTGTCTTTTTTTCAGTGTCAAAAACATTATCAGTGAATTCCCAGTAATGTTTTATGTTGGTAAAGAACATGTAGCTGGACTTACTGAATAAACATGTAATTGTCCCTTTTGCTCTAATTGATTTCAGGTCCAAGGAGAGATCAAGAGGAAGTGGAGGAGGTGGCACCTGCAGAGATACATGGGCTCAGACACCAAATACCAGCACCCATCTATTGGCAGCAGCAACAACTTCAGCACCCAGATCACCATGTTGACACGGTGCAGCCCGAAAACTCGCCGGGCTTCATTATCCTGTCACGATGACTTGTCTAGCATCTGAGTCGCAGAGATACAGACACACAAAATGCTGTACAAAATGCTCTCATGCCAAACATTAGGCAGAACATCGCAGCATATATAAGCTTTACCATAAGTACTGTTGGGTCATGTGTGTGGTGCAGAAGATGGAAGGTGATGAAAGGATTGGAAAAAAAGATATAAGGACACGATGTGACCATAATCAGCTTTGAAGCAGTTTGTAACTGTTCCAAAAAAATACATTTAAATGAGAAGGTAAGTTGCACATTGCTTAACAAACAAAGCGTTTGCGGAGAGAGTCCTTTTTGCGCAGGTCACCTGTACAGGTGAATTCAAGTCATATCACTACAGCTCTTATTTTTTAAATATCCTGTGTGCTTAGATGAGTGGGCTGGTGTAACTCTGAGCCTCGTGCACTCCTGCAGCTCCAAATAGTCAAGTTTGGTGCTAAAGCTTTGGAAGAAATTGAGGTGATGTATTTTTCTAACAGCAGCATCACAGGGTAACAAAGGTACTGTACCAGAACTGGACTGTGAGGGTGTGTTTGAGTGCTGAATGTAAATAGTGCTGGAAAATTTGCTTTAAAACATACTTTAGAGTATCCAAAATAAGCATAATACTATACTCCCCCCCTTTGCTGTGTAGGAAGAAAGAAAAAAAGACAGGCTTACAGAGCAGGAAACTTTATTTCCATAAATGCCAAACAGATTAGGCTTCAGACCAAGTGATGCTGATTCACAGTGATGTGTTTGGAGCACAAATGCCCTTCTCTGCACTATCATGCTCATGAGAGACCGGTTGCCCTTTGCCTTCTTTTATCAACACAGCCTTCCCTCTTGGCGTGTGCGATTCTGAGCCTATGATTAGGTAGATATTTTTCATTATTTAGGGCACTGTGGCGGTTTTGTGTCGATCACTGACGAGTGCCTGGGTTTGGTGTTTTGAACCGACTTCTGCGGTCTAGTCTTTGCTGGCTGTTGGGCAGTACAGCAGCTCTGAAGAGGAGATGTCCATATGCAGCTCATTCCTTGAATGTTTACATTTACTTGGGAAGAGTTATAAAAAAATGATGCACAGTCAAGTGTGCAGTGTAAATAAACTTGGAATGCTTGTGCCATACACATCACATTGTGGTTATAATAATAGTAATGAATCACTAAGTGTCGTTTGTTCAAATTAAAGTATGACAGGATTTAAAACTTTGCCATTATGAATAATATTTTTTGAATTCTTCAGGTTCAGACTTACTTCTCCATCGGAGGAGTCTGAACTTGACAAGTCAGCAGAGAATGTTAGATCCTGTATGCAAAGCAAAGTGACAAGGATGACTGGTCCTGTCACAACGATGCTGTCTTTGTGCTTTTGAGCTCGCGTAGGTTTGAAAGTAAGGCTTGTTCATTCTAGAGGGAACAACGGGGGAATCCGGCTTTACACGGGAGGAAGGAAATCATCTCAACCCACCAGTGATTTAAAGGTTTAGATCATCATTAAGTTTAAGAATAAAAAAAAAAATCTAATGTGGTAATATGTGTCAAGGAAATATTGAATATCAATATATCGCCTTCAGATTGCTGAAAGTAATAATTATACTTTTAGAGAAAAGGAAAAAGATTGGAACCGCTTTCATATTGTGGTCAGAAGTTTACATACACTCATCGTGCTAATTTTGGCCTATTAATGACTTCTTTGAACCGTTCTCTTTCCAAGGTGGAATGATTGAACAGCATACATTTATAATTAATTAAAAATAAATGGGTGCACACGTTTCATTTATTTTCGGATTTTTGGTGATGAACATTCAAAAGTATCCATGCAGGCTCAAATATGTACGTAAGCTGAACACTGAACACTGGCAGCAAAACAGCCCCAGAGCATGATGCTACCACCATTGACATCACTTGACAGTTTGCACAGAAGTCTTAGTTTTTCACCTTTACTCCTGCAAACATAATTCTCGCCTTTGTCAACTCAATCTTTGCCTTTGTCTAAAACCTTTCTCCTTCAAACTCGACTGAAATGTGCAGTTGCAAATTTGAGTTTGAAGGTGTCGATTTTGGAGCAGCGACTTCTTTCTTGATCAGCACTTCACTGTGGACAGTGACACGTAATCCTTGGCGGTTCCTGCCTTGTTCCTGAACATCTAACCAATTTGCTCTCATCTAAGTGTGACATTTTCGGTCTTCTTCTAGACCTTGGCAAAGTGGTAACAGGACTATAACTTATGTACAATTGTTTGAACGATTTTCCTGGAATCTGCAGTGTTTGCAGTAGAAATGGCTCCAAGAGATCCAACTAGAACCTACCACGTGTAGTCAATCATGATCAGTAACAAAAAGAATAATGGGCCTTGACCTTGTCAAATTAAAAGACATCGTGAAACTTCAGCACTGTATTTATACTGTTGACCCTCTTGGGGTTTGCTACAATTGATGGTAAATTCAAAGTTGTGCACCCAATTCAGTTTTTAAATGTGTACTTTTAAAAATGGATGCTGTACAATCTTTCCATCCAACTTTTCAAAAATTGCAATCACACTCATATCAAAAGAACCAGTAAGTTACTGTACACAGAAAACATGCATTACTTCATTAATTCTTGGTCTACTCACCTTCCAAGGGACAATTTCAAACAACCAGCCCAATTAAACTAGTAACACGAACGTTTGGACTTTTCATTTTAATGGGAAGTAATCATTGCAGGTTGGAATAGGTAGGTCAGTTCTTGACCATTATTCTCTACAAGTGCATTCATTAGCATTTCTGGGATGTTGTGGCATGTCCATGTTCTGATTATGCCACAGCAGTTCCGCGGGGTTAAGGTCAGGACTTTAGAAAAAAAACATGAATTTATTGCTGATTTACTTTTTGTGCTTTGGGGCATGGTCTTGGCGCATTAATCATTCACTTTAAGCTTCATGTCATGCGCTCTGCTACCCAGACATGATCCAAATTTAAACGAATAATTTCCTCAATGATTGTTGGGTGTCAGATTTTGTTTCACTCGTCTACAGGAGATTGTCTCTGTTAAGAATAACGTTTTCCTCCATATTGTCCTTCTATTAACCCCATTCTTGTTCAGTGTTCTTAGTGGACAAGGTCTTAACAAGCTACAGGTGTTTTGTTCTCTCTCTTTCACCTCCTTTAAGATTGAATAAAATGTTCAGGACACCCACAGAATATCAGCAGTTCTTTAGTTTGTAAAAAGTTTGTCTTATTGTGCATTTCTGAACACCAAGGTTGTTTGAAATGCTTTAGTAGTGATTTTCTGCTTCAGGCATCTCTATAACGATTCTTGTCTTTGTGGTCTCCTGAAGATGTTTGCGATCAAAGCATGGATCACACCAGCCAACCTCTTTTGAGAAAAGTCTGGCTATTTTTCACTGCACTTATAGCCTCCTTGATTGAAACACCTGACTCCAGATAGAGTTTTGGTAGAGTTATTATCACAGTGTGTTTTTGTGTTCAATCAAAGACATACAAAGAGTTATATAAAGTACTGCTGATTTTGTATTATTACACCACTCAGAAAATTTAAGGGAACACTTGATCAACACAGTGTAACACAAAGACAGTTAAACTATTATGACACATTCTGTCCATTCAGGTTTCACAGGTAGTCCAACTCCTCCAGTGTGGCACGTCCTGAAAAACTGTCAGAGCTGGACTCTGTGAGGGTGGCTAATTAGTAATAATAATAATAATAATAATAATAAACTTTATTTATAGGCGCGTTTAAAGACCCTCAAGGTCACCTTACATTAGTACAAAGAAAATAAAAAAATAAGGTAAATGAAAAATAAAAAGTATAAAAGTATAAAAGCTAAACAAGGACAAAATAGACTAAGATGGAATCATGATGAAGGATATGCAATTTTGAATAGATGGGTTTTAAGACGGGATTTAAAAGTGGAGAGAGAGTTTGTCGTCCGGAGATCTGGTGGAAGTGTATTCCAAAGTCTCGCTGCAGAACAACTAAAGGCTCTGAGTCCCATAGTCAACCTTATAACAGCACGTATGGATGT